GTTTATAACATCAATACAGGTCCATAATACTTGATAGAATATGCATTTATTATATGTAAAATGTTAAAATGTGAGATAAAAAAGAACAGAGGTTATACATACATATATAACATACATCATACATATTATATATATATATATGTGTGTGTGTGTGTGTGTGTGTCTGTGTGTGCGTGTGTATGTGTGTGTGTATTAATAAAGACTGCAACAACATAAGTTATCTCATTTTTCTGTAGAATCTTCATAATCTCTGTAGAATGTGACTGTTTAACATCTGACAGAAAGAAGAAATATTTTTATGATCTACAAAACTGCTTACGTTAGTTCAGTTTATAATGTGACTGTTTAACATCTAACAGAAAGAAAAAATATTTTTATGGTCTATAAAACTGCTTATGTTAGCTCATATCACAGAATTAAGAATTCTTGAAAATGTGATCATAAACCTAATTCTCCCTTTTTTCTGCTATGCCACATTCTCTCTTTTTCTCCCCCCCCCCCCTCCTCCTTACGTGTTTTGTATTTCACTATTTCTCTCTTCTCTTTGTTTAATCTCTAGTGCATTATCATGCCTTTTCATCTATAAATCTATGTAGGTATCTATCTATATGAATACACACACACGCACACGCATATATATATATATATATATAATATATAGGATAAAGTAGCGTAATTTGATCAACAACATTTTTTGAGCGCTGCAGTTCGCACCAGAGAGTTGTCGTTTATATATGTCATTAAATTGTCATTGTATTAGCTCACCTTTGATGAGACATAGAGCTGAATAGACGTGTTAATTTTTGCTAATTTTTGTTAATTTTTTTTTTTCGTTAAGTTGACCAAATTACGCTATACTCCCCTACATATAGTTATAGTGTGAACACATACGCGCCCGCGCGCATTAGAATTATCCACCTACGACTATCTTTTTCTGACGTACAATAACCATCTCTTTTTCTCATTGAACCCCTCAACTCTCCAGCCGTCGTTCTTTCTCTATTTTAACTCATGCGTGTTATAACGCATGAGTCTTGTCCCTAACCTAATACAACAGAGTCGCGCTGAGCCACACCACGACGGCGACCGCGCGCGTTCAGACCGGTTTGATGATTCAGGTTCATCTAGATCTAAACAACTACGAGCCCGGTCACGTAATACGCTACCCGCGATTCTCTCTCCTCACATACCTACGACAATGACATGGTACTTATGTACTTCCTCGTGAGAATAGTTTTGAAATGTCGCACGAGGAGAGTCACGGCTGGCGGATTTGGGCTCGCCTTGAACTTGATATTTGCATCAAAAAGAACTCCCCTTTTGTTGACCGGAATTTACAGCTAGCTATATACAACGGCGATTGATTTAAGGCAAGTGTCTACCCATCGTCTGGGACGATTTTTAATTATCCGCTATGTTTTAATTTCATTATTTATCTATATACATTTTTAATTATCCGCTGTGTTATAATTTCATTATTTATCTATATATATTTTTAATTATCCGCTGTGTTATAATTTCATTATTTATCTATAATACATACATTTTATTTAGCTCCATTATATCGGATGTCTTTTAGTCTCAGATTGGAATCTGAGTTATCATATTAAATCGGCCTGAGACATTCTTAGACTTATAACGATCGAATCACGTCTAATTGTAGATAAACGTTCGTCATTGTTCATCGATAAAATTAAAGAATTCTTCCCTTCCTAAAGACATATACGTCGTCGTATTTAAATGTCATCGTATTCTACTCGTCTTTTATAAAAGTCAAATTTGATGATTTGTATCACTGCAGGACAAGACGCAAAGATAGTAAAACTTTCGGCAATCCTGATCAGGGAGACCTTGACCTTCGTCGGACCGATATAGAACACATTGAATTTACCATCTAGAGAGATTCTCGATCGAAATTCAGAAGGGTTTAATGCTCACACCATTCTACTTATTATGGTCCCATTCTTCTGCGGCGCGACTCGAGGGGGACCCGTCTTAGAAATTACAGCTCGTCCTAAGAATACAGAGGCACCACGGATGTCGCTGCACGATGCATGTCCGGTTTAGCTCACAGTGACGAAAAGTGGAATCGGACATTAGATGTACGTTTAACCCTTTAGTGGCTCCTTCGAAGCATGCTCAGTTTCAGCGTGAATCCTTTATGCCGTTGAGGATTCGCGGTGGTTAAGAAGCGGATCTCGTTTTAACCCTAAAATACGATACGCGACCAACGTTCACGTACACGAGTGTATGCAAATTTGATTATTTCGACTTACATCTGACTTGTTGTTTCTATTTAAGCGTTCTGCATTGTTGTTGGAACTATTCATTATTTTTTTTCGTATTACTATTTAGCATTTTAACCCTTTTGCTGACAATAAGTCTCCCCAATTTTATTTATGCGTAATACATACGATCATAAAAATATCCTCATAAACTAAGAATCACATACATTTTTAATTGGACGCGTAATATAAATATAAACATATGTGAAAATAAATAGATGTAGAGCCTGAAACAGTCGCGCGAATGATCTTGGGAACGCTCTTCGCTAGATACGCCATTGCAGCGAGATAGATGGATGGTTATAGCGAGTGCGTCGAAGCGGGATGCGGGGGCTGATCGATAAAAGCGGCGTCGGGTTCACAAGCCTCATTCAAGGACAAGGCCATGTGATAGCAGACGCGCAACCGCGGCGCGCACTGAACTACCCCTGCCTATCGCTGGCCCAGGGGCGGATTAACGCGCAACACGGCCCTCCGCGTTGAGGGCCAAGAATTTACTCCTACTATTAACGAAAATATCCATCTGAACGCAGACATTTCTACGAATATTTTCGATTTACGAATCATCTATATCTTATACATACTAATATAATTCTAAATAATCAGGATAGCTATCTCTCCGTTTCAAAAAAAGTCATAGGATCTTGTAATATTAGTTTCATAATTTAATTCCATTAATAACTGTATATTAATGCATCACGTACAAGCAATCGTTCCGCGTGCGAAGAAAGCGGATCTAATGGCAAAGGGTTGTATCCGGGGGTCGCGTCTTTCGCGCGTACGGAAGGAAGAGTGGCTCGAGTGGCGGAGCGCGAGAAGTGCGGCAAGCAAGAGAAGGAGGCGGACGAAGGGCGAAGTCTCCCGGAGGGAGACCGTACTGCGTGGTCTAGTGTGTGGGGTCGTATCGCGGACAAGCCAGCCGCTTTTATATACACGCGCACCGGATAGCACGCCGGCACATCGGACGCTATAGGTCGAGAGCGTGCACGCTTTTGCTTGCCGGCGGCTATAGGCTGCCTGTAGGGACGGGAAAGAGAGGGTGAGGAAGAGCGAGAGGAAGAAAGAGAGAGAGAGGAGATCGGATCGGAAGAGAGGGAGAACGGCGCGCACGAGAGGGAAAGAGATGACGACGCCCGCCGCGCTTATGCACCACTGAATCCGCCGCGACCGGCACACTCTCACTTTCGCCGGCACCGATGACGGTTCTCGGCATCGCCGGCCTAGTCGCTGTCAGAGCGTCGTGCATCAGCGATCGCGCGCACGTAATCCACGGTGCATACGTACACACGTACGCCCAGTCGCGCGCTCGCACGCGCGACGCACGCGGATTTACCGCATTTCCGTCTGGTACTGTCTGACCGGGTGACTTGACGAGCCGTCATTCGCGCGACCACGTGATAACATTTCCGATCGCGACGTTGTCGTCAAAGACGACGTGCCGCGGCGCGCGATTTACAAACGTTAAGGCGCTTTGTTTTGACAGCGTGATACCGTGGCTCGCGACGGACAGGGGTTGACGCTCGCCTTTGTAGCCGGTGATAGAGCGTAGACGGCAGAGGCAATACGTCTCTCTCGCTCTAGCGCGCACGAGGGTGAGAGACACGGGGGACTGTGAGTGGGGTAGAGTGACGCGTCGGGAGGGAGCGAGAAAGTGGTGGGTGCGTGGGTGGTAGCAGAGAGGGGAAGGTTGGTGCTGACTCTCGCGAGGGACGACGCGTGTGCCGAGGACTGTTGTTTTCGGCGTATTGCTAAGAAACGTTCATTCATACGATCGACAGCTCCGAAACGCGCGTCCGCTCCGTTGTGACTTGCTCGTCTCTCGTGCAACCCCCGACAATTTGCGCGCATCTCTTTCGCACGCGAGTCGCGAAAGCGCCAACTGAAAGAGGTCGGTATCGCGAATGAGAACTTCCGCGGACACCTGCCACGCGCCACTATGAGACATTGACCGTGACACTCGACAACCAGCGGGAGTGCGCACGAGAAAGAGAGAGAAAGAGAGAGAGAGACGGAGTGAGGACGTGACTCTCTACTGATCCAGGTATGAAGTCGGACCTGATCAGCGATGAGAGGAGATGATGACAGGTTGCATTTGTGAGAGAAAGTGTCTGGCTCGAAGTGTACTCTAAGATCCAATTTGTAGCCGATGGATCTAGAGGTGAAATAAAGTTGATTCGAAAGGTTTATGATTAACGGTGTTCTCGAAACTGGAATACATACGGCAAAACTGACAAGAGCGGAAGATACATTCGAAAAGTGATTGATACAAAGTGCTCTTCAAGTTGAATCGACTGTGAGATTAGTGGATCTAAAGTAAAGAGACGTAAAGTACATCGCTGGCGAGAACATAACAGAGCCGAAGTGTTGTCGAAACATCGGTGAATCGGTGAGAACTGTCGGTATAGATTAGAGAAAGGGGAATGCCTTTATAAAGACTCTGTGACTAATCAAAGTGCACGTAACGTGACTTTAGTGTATCGTAAATCAACGTAAGTTACGTGAGTGAAGTGGACTGTACGCACGACTTAAGTTGAGAAGTGCCGTCTTTCACGTGATCCTCGTGTAACCCGCGACAGCGCGGGTTTCTTGTAACGAAGGTGGCTCATACGGCTCGAGACAGGGCCGCCGAACTGCAGGCGGAAGTACGCAGCGCCATAAGGGTGCTACATGGCTGGTGCCCCCGACCACCGCAGGGGCACGCGCGGGGCGAGACGGTGCTGATGTCACCGCAGTCTCAAATACGTGGCAATCACGGAAGAAACAGTGGCCCGCCTCCGCCGCCACCCGCGACAGTCGTAGTCAGCTCGACCTCCAGCATGAGACCGCCGCCGCCACCGCCGCCTCCCAGAGCGAGGACTTCCAATGAGAGCAAAGGCCATCACGAAGAGCCCACCAGCTCTATTCCCGATCTCGGTAAGAAATTTGTCTAATTTTTTGTTTTTCTCCCTACATTCTTCCGGGATATGTAAATAGATATAAAAGAGCCTAGAAGATCTCTGGAAGATCTAAAATCGTTTGTCAACATCTCTTTATCCGATTTTTTCTCTTCGAAAATAATTTTGTATTTACTTGATTTAACGAATTACTAAACGTTACATTAAATATATGTATGTTCATTACCGACTTGTTACGATTTACGACTCTTTAGAGCTTTGGAATTTTTAAAGAATTTTTCGAATTTGTTGGATATTCAATTACCGTTTTAAATTTGATACACGAGAAAAAATGATAATTGCGAAATGTATACAAACTCTTATGTTCATTTCTATCAATGTAGATTAACTTTAATCTCTATTACTTTTTATCTTTTTCTAATTCTTAGAACTAGAAGAAGATAAAATGTAAGTTAAACCGAGATTAAAGATAATCTACATCGATAGAAATAAACGTTACAAAACTGTAGGTATGTGTATAATGATTTTCACTGATCCGAGACCGATTATTATGTATTTCGTGAGTACATCCGCACTTGATTTACAAGTAACGGACTTACGCAAGCGGAGCTTATACACTGTTTCGTGATACAAAAGTAACGAGATCATCGGCCCATAAAAAAGTGGTTTAAAAAAAGACAAACTTCTGGGAGATCCGGACGAAATTTGCATACTGCGATGCAACGATTGGCTATAAATTTCGAGGCGTCGACTGGTTGGATGTAGACGAGCAATTCTTCGGCGGATCACCGTTCTCTCTCTCTTTCGTCAGCCTTCGCAGAACTGTTTTATATTCCAGATGATACGACTGTGTTTACGTTGGTAAGGTTCATTAACGATAAGTCCCGCTAAGCACTGTTGTCTGTTTGTGGCAGTCAGACGTGAGAATGAGTGAGAAATGAACGATGAAATTGAAGAGAAGTTGAAGTCGACGAAAAGTAAGATTATAGAATCGATGATCGTAAAAAAAAAAATATTTATAGGTCGAATTATAAATAAAGCGTTGCGAGGAAACAAACAGATATTAATTTTCCTCTATGGTAATTTAATCCCGGAACATGTTGATCTGTCCTCTGTAAGTGAGGTGGCAAACGATCAAGGCTGTCTGTGGCGAAAGGATTATGACGCGCGCGCGCATATTTTTTTTATATTCTGCGTCGCTTGTTAGCCCGAGCGACTTTGTTCACCGAAAGAAATCGGCGCCCGCATCTGCATAGACCAGAATTCGGCAAAGTTCGAGGACACGCCACCGCGCCCGCGCCGTCCGGCAGCCGCGACGTCTACGATCTATGTTAATACGGTGGCGAAAGAAAAAGCGAGCCTCAGCTCTTTAAACCGTTCTTCTAAATATAAATTCGACGGTGACGCAGAGAACGTCCTTGACCGTGAAAAATACCGAAAAGTATTCCGAAAGACTACCGCGACGCATTGTACAGCATATCAACATTCTTATCTATACACAAAAAAAAGACACGTAATCAAACTAACCGCGTGGATTATTCAAGCTATGTGCTGGAACGCTCGAGAAATGACCATTCGGATACAAGAATAAGGCGGACTTTGCTTTCAAAAAATGCGTTGTGCGTTTATTAAAAAAAAAATGCGCCATTAACCACAGGATCGCGCGCGATTCTCGACGAAAATAGATGAAGTAGTGATCTAGACAATTGGTAAAATTGAAAAACTGAATTGACTTCCTGAATCATTCATATGCTTATCAGGAACTAACGTAGCTTAACGAACACAAGCCGCGCATGAATGCACGAGTAGTTTTGCAAACTTGTCATCGTTTCACAATATACAGCCTTCATTATTCCTTGCCGTCGATGAATCGATGGTTGACAGATAAAACGACGGCGATGTCGCGCAATTGTAAAAATACATCGGGTGATCTTGAACGGGGCCACACGTTATCGCAGTGACAACGTGCACGATAGCGAGAAATGATTTTGTGATCGGCTGAGTACAATCGTGTATGAACGCAGAGATGGCTTTTATGAAAAAGATGTCATCTTACGTCGTTCAAACTTTACAACGATAATTTACTCCATGTTTTTTTATATATTTGGTCCAGGAAAAGGACCAAAGTTAGAACGACAAATCTGTATGATTTTTAAATTGTATGAGATCGCGAAAAATCAAAAGTCAGGTTTTAACTATAAGTAACTTTAAGAACTGTAAGAACTTTAAGTAGGTATTTTGTAAAGAAAATGACGTTGCTGATCCGAGCGGCTTTTCAGGCAAGAAAAATTTCAGGTAGAGACGAGGGAATGCAGTTGCCGTTGTTGATCCCGAATGGGTCAAGTCATTATATGTTTTAAAATAGTCGGCCTCTTATCAATGCTTCGTATTATCTCCTAACTTGAGGCCAAGGCTCAATGACGTGACGATTCTGTGTGTCATCATATATTTCGACAAAGCTATTGATGAGGACAAAGGAACTTTTCCATTGACCGGGAAATATTTTTCTTCTGGATAAAACGAAACAATTTTCTTCTCGAAAAATCTGTTTTATTCAAAATCTAACATCTTTTCTGTTATATTTTTCTGCTCTCTATCTCTATCTCTTTTTCTCTGTCAGTCTTATCTATTATTTTTAAAAATTAAAAAAATGACAATTTCTTCCTGTAGTAATATTGTTTCAAACAATTAAACAACAAATCTACTTGATTGCAAATCGTAGTTATAATTGATCACAATTTAATAATTTAATATTTTATCGTAATAAAATTATTGTCTAAAAATTTATAATAGAGGAAAATGTTGCATAAAAACCAAGTTCCAAATCTCTTGATAAAAAAGTGAGAAAGAGCTATTCGAGCTCACAAATATTGATATGAAAGGGTGTGTGCACCTCGCTGCATTCCGCAACGTGTACCATGGACGCAGACACCCTTCAGCTAAGACTTGTCTGTGTGTCATGTGTATATGTAACTCGAGCACACGCGCGCAACATGTGCGCGTCAAGTGCTCATGTGTATGGTATGCGCTATGATAAAAAGGACAAATACAGTTGGACCTAAGGTCTCTATCCCTGGTCCTCGTAGGAGGAAAATGCGGACTTCTCTGGAAACAAGCTGATAAACTTTCTCCCAACCGGACGTGTAATAATGAACTTGAAAAAGCCTTATAATCTAGTACGATGCATTTTATATAAATTATTTCGTACAAATTATTTCATACAAATTTCGTTTCGTATGAATTTTGTTTGTGAAGTAAATTTGATATAGTCATTAGGTGTATAAAATATATATATATTCTTCGACAAATATCGAAATGCCATTAAAAAAATATAGAAATTTTCGTCGAATCAAATTTACATTTTGCAAATTTCTTTTTTAAGAAATGCCTTTCAGAAAAAATTTTCCCACCACGGTTCTTCAATTATTTTTGTGGCTGTTTCCAAGTGCCTTTTTGTGCCAGTTTTTCCTGTTGACGATAACAACTTGAGAGTTTAAACAGATTTAAGCGATTACGTTTTTCGGTTGATTACGATTATGTGCTATATATTTTGACTTTTTATCGTATCTTATCGTTGACGAAACCAAACAGACAAGGCAATTGTTCCAGTTTCTTTAGTTTTTAATAAAGTCAGTATCTGTGTGTATAACATGAGTATGACTAGAATTTTATTCTAGAAATAGGGTACAGTGGGGTAATTTGGATAACAGTAAGCATTTGCAAGAATTTCGGAAAAATAAAAAATTTTAAGATACATTTTATTAAATCAGACATTATTCTAATGAAATGTATCTTAAAATATCTTATTTTTCTGAAATTCTTGCAAATACTTACTGTTATCCAAATTACCCCGCTGTACCCTATAATAAAATGTTGTAACAAGTTTTACTATCATACCACGTTTAATTCGTTTTCATGCGTTTCCGTGCGGTAATTTGACATTCACAGTATTTAATTTCTTTATGCGCGCACGCGTTTATGTTTATACATATACACACACATATATATATATATACATATATATATATAAACATTTCAGAGACGATAATTAATAGAAAAATTTCTAAATTTATTGTATGAAAATTTTGCTCTCGGTCAAGATTAAGAATAATGATAAATTTGTGTTTATTCAGTTTTGATATTCCCAATAAAACATTTTAATCAATTATATCTGAAAAACTTGAGCACATTTTATCATTTCAGATTTCAAAGATTCAAAGTTTAACTTTTCAAATTACGTTTGGGCGCGCGAACAAAATAAAATTCATCAAGCACATTCAAAAAGTCAATTTACGATAGTTGTTCGATTCTGTTTAATCAAATAAGGATAAGATAAAAATAGGAATACGATATACATTTCTAAAAGAACAGATGTTACTCTTGTACCGATCCGAATGTGTCACGCGAATTACTCTTCAATTGTTCCTTTCCGATGCTATTACCACTACGCTATCATACTGGTGCTCCCGCCGTTAAAGTGGATCGAAAGTGGTAGAATAAGAGTGGCCATTCGAAAGGTTCGTCGTCTCGCAATGACCCTCGTTCGCTAGGTGATGTAAAACAGGGTGGAATGACCCAGTCAGTCTGTATTCCCCCCCGCGTATCCTTACAATCGTTATTGCATGCAATGTCGCAGCACCGACTCGGCCTCATCCCTCCCTTCATTCGTCTTTGTGCGGGGGCGCGTTTTCTACGAAAAGTAGAACTGCAGTCGCGAGGGGAGAGTTCGCGTGAGCTGCAACTCTCAGGTAATCGAGACTTTCTGGCGCGGTGGTGGCGAGCTTCCGGTGGGACTCGTCAGGGGTGAATGTACGTGCGTCACTTTAATAATTGCCGCCTCGCGTTAATTGCTTTCACATTTTCTTGCCTACTGCAAAGAGAAAGCCGAAGAGCGCGAAATTTTGGCCTATCTTAAATTTGAATCTTTTGTGATTATTATTTTAAGTTATAAATTCCAGTACTAAAATTAAGTGCTGTACGTAACTGTTATATTTCAAATTTATTGCAGAACATTTCTAT